TTTACCTACCGAGCCTTCTCTCCAACCATTTATTACTTGCATTTATGTATTTGTTCTGTGTCTGTCTGTCTGTCTGTCTGTCTGTCCCTCCCTTGCTTTAAAGACTTGCTCTGAGAACTGGAAACCTTTGTCCCATCCCCATCCTCAGCTGCAACCTTTAAAACCCTAGTCCCCCACCCCCGCCCCACTTTCCCCATGAAGCCTTGCCAAAGCTTCCACCCAAAAGGACCCTCTCACCTACCTCATTATCCCTGCCCCTCTGCCAGGTGGAAAAAGTGCACACTTTCCTGGATTACATCATGGGTGGCTGCCAGATCAGCTTCACAGTAAGCCCCCACCCCGGGTGGCAGAGGGATGGCATAAGAAAAAGGGAGGGCCCAAATCCATGCAAACGAAAGAAGCCAGAGTCTCCCTGCCCTTAATAACTGGGCATCTGGTGTACCTTGCATCCAACACCCCACTCAGCTATGAGGCTGCCCGTGGGCTCCCCTAGATTCACCCTGGTTCTCTTACACATTCTAACTCTGGCCTAGCCTGTCTGTTGGTTCTCATGGCTGCAGCATGACTCTTCCCCACCTTCTCCCAGGTGGCCATCGACTTCACTGCCTCCAATGGGGACCCAAGGAGCAGCCAATCCCTGCACTGCCTCAGCCCCCGACAGCCCAATCACTACCTGCAGGCCCTGCGCACAGTGGGAGGCATCTGCCAGGACTATGACAGGTAACAGGAAGGGGGCAGGGTGTGGATCAGGAAGGGAGGCCTTGCCCAGGACCTTCACAGCTTTCTCCTCTCTACAGTGATAAGCGGTTCCCAGCTTTCGGCTTTGGAGCTCGAATTCCCCCAAACTTTGAGGTAGGCTGGGTACGAGAGACAGGAAGATGGCAGGGGAGACAGAAAGGAGAAGCTCCTTCACTGCCTTGCCTCACCCTTACAGGTGTCCCACGACTTTGCCATTAACTTTGACCCAGAAAATCCTGAATGTGAAGGTAAGCTGGGGGAAGTTACATCACCCTGCGCCACTACAGATGCTTGTGACCTCCTCAGGACCACAGACTCTACCCTAGCACACTCAGCTCCCAGACCCATCCCTTCCTCCCATCCAAAGCCTGTCTTCATTTGGGAAGAGCGCTATGACCCACCTACCTCTCCTGGCCCCAAGGACCATCTGTCTCTCTCTCTCTCTCTCTCTCTCTCTCTCTCTCTCTCTCTCTGCTTAGTGAGGAGCTGGGAGCCACTCTGCTGTGCCTGGAGCCCCTACTGACTCTGCCAGCTTCACCTCTTTTCTTTGCCTACAGAGATCTCAGGGGTTATCGCCTCCTACCGCCGTTGCTTGCCTCAGATCCAGCTCTATGGTCCTACCAATGTGGCCCCCATCATCAACCGCGTGGCTGAGCCAGCCCAGCGGGAGCAGAGCACTGGCCAAGCCACGGTGAGGAAGCAAAACAGATAAGCAGGTGCTGCCCTGCAGGGTCAGGACCTGCGTTTGGAAAGAGCATCGGAGCCCTTTCCTACAGAATCAAGCCGTATTTCCCTTCTGCTCACCCCCAGAAGTACTCGGTACTGCTCGTGCTCACTGACGGTGTGGTGAGTGACATGGCCGAGACCCGAGCGGCCATTGTGCGAGCCTCCCGCCTGCCCATGTCCATCATTATTGTGGGTGTGGGCAATGCTGACTTCTCTGACATGAGGCTACTGGATGGAGATGATGGTCCCCTGCGTTGCCCAAAAGGGGTACCTGCAGCCCGTGACATCGTCCAGTTTGTGCCCTTCAGGGACTTCAAGGATGTGAGTATTTGGTACTCTCCTCCAGTGAGAAAGGCCTTCTCAGCAATTCATGCCCCCCAAATCTGTCTTTCTATTTTACTTTTCTTTTTTTTTCTTTTTCCTTTTTTTGTTGTTTTGTTTTAGTTTTAGTTTTGTTGTTTTTCAAGGCAGGGTTTCTCTGTGTAACAGCCCTAGCTGTCCTGGAACTCATTCTGTAGACCAGGCTGGCCTCAACTCAAACCCATAGAGGTCTGCCTGCCTCTGCCTCCCAAATGCTGGGATTAATGGCATGCGCCGCCACCAACTGGCCCAAATCTGTCTTTCTCATCCTCTTGATGTCCTTTGAAGATCACTAGAATCCAGCACACCACTCTGAAGCCCCACCAGTAGCTCATTTGACTCAGATGCTCCCACTCTCCAGCCCCTAACCAATCTCCTTCCCTCCGCAGGCTGCTCCCTCTGCCCTGGCTAAGTGTGTCCTGGCAGAGGTACCACGGCAGGTGGTAGAGTACTATGCCAGCCAAGGGATCAGTCCAGGAGCTCCCAGACCCTCCACGCCAGCTGTGAGCCCCAGTCCCAGCCCATGACTGCCTCTCCACAAGCCAACACCCCCTCATTCCTTCAGTAAGTTCTTGGGGATCAAAAGGGAGCATGCAAAATGGGTCCGAAGTGGCGCCTCTGAATGACCCATCTTGGCTGCTGTGGCTGGCGTGATGCTTTTGACTATCCTGCTCCTCTCAGGTGCCTGTGCTGACCCTTGTGACTCCGGTGACCAGTGTCTCTGCCTCTTGGACCAGTGGTGCCCTGTGAGTCTTGGAAGTGAGTGGTGGGCCCTACTGCCATCTCTTCAAGCCCCATACCCCTCAACTCTGTGGACCCTCAATAGCTTCCTTCAGTGATTGTGGCTTTATGGGTGTTAATAAAGGGATCTACCCCAGTATTCCAGCCTCAGATGCTCGTTGGAGAATCCATCCCTCCCACATATACCATAGAAAAGGGGGCCAAATCTCCTTCCAAATCTGAGCCAGAGCTCCCCAAGCATGCTGTTGTCTCTGCAGCCCCCAACTGTGTGCCAGTGGGAACTAAGGAGCCCCTACTCTCACCTCCCAAGCCCAGGGGGGTCTAAGCACCATGGGCGTTAATTGCAGGAGATGGGGGAGGGTAATGAGGGGCTGTCAAGAGGGCAGGCTGATGCTTTCTTAGATCTGTCTCCAGAGAGGTCCCGCTGAGTACCCCAGGGGCTGAGCCCCAGCCCCCACACAGCTGCAGGGCAGGCCCTGGAGGGATGGTGGAGCGGTGAGGGGCGCAGCAGGTCTGCTAATAGTGCGGAGCACAAAGAGGACACTGAGGCCTGCAAGGCCTGGTTTCCCATGCGTGCTCCGTGCACCACACATTGGGGAAGTCCAGTTGGGTACTCTTACTGCTAACATGGCAACCGCAGCCAGTATTGTTCTTTAACACATCACATTGGCTCCTTTCAATGTGTATTGTGATAGCAAGCCAGAGCGGTATTTCTCCATCTATCCGAGGAAGCGAATAAGGCTTGATTTTTAACGCTTCAGGGTCAGAAAAGAGTCAGAACTGGAGCTGCCTAGCCACAACACCCACACATATCATCACTACTGTACCTCAGCTAGCCACAGGGTCTAGACATGCCACCTTGAGACCTCGTAGATGCCTGCTGGTTTATGGGCACAAGCGTCTGAGGACAGTGTCTCTGCCCTTGTGTGCCGTGCAAATAAGGAGGGGTTGCAAGAGAGCCAATGGCCTGGACTGAAGCTCCAAAGGACAGAAGAGGACACAAATGAAGTTCAGAGTAAGGGAAAGGTAGGAGATGTGCCACCTGCCTGCAACCCTAGCACTCGGAAAGTGAGGGCACGGCCAGGGGTGGTGGTGCACACCTTTAATCCCAGCACAGCCGGGGTGGTGGTGCACACCTTTAATCCCAGCATAGGCGGGGTGGTGGTGCACACCTTTAATCCCAGCATAGCCAGGGGTGGTGGTGCACACCTTTAATCCCAGCACAGCCGGGGTGGTGGTGCACACCTTTAATCCCAGCATAGGCGGGGTGGTGGTGCACACCTTTAATCCCAGCATAGCCGGGGTGGTGGTGCACACCTTTAATCCCAGCATAGCCGGGGTGGTGGTGCACACCTTTAATCCCATCACCCAGCACACCAGGTGAAGCAGGCAAGTCTTAGTTGATCTACAAAGTGGGTTCCAGGCCAGCTAGGGCTGCACAGTGGGACCCTGTCTCAAAAAAGGAAAAAAGGAAGGAAGGAACGAAGGAAGGAAAGAAAAAGGAAAAAGGATTATGAGTTTGAGGCTAGCCTGGGCTACATAGTTAAAAAAAGAAAAAAGGAACACAGTGTAAAGGAAGAAGAATTGAGATCCTAGGTGAGCTCCCTTTGCCCCAGCCTCTCCCTGCAACAATGGATGTTGAAGAGGAAGATGCTGAGTGTTCTCATAGGGAGGAACCCAAGCTAAAGAGGAAGGCCGCTGGCCAAAGGGCAGGCAAGGGAAATGAATGAGCAGGGGTCTGCCGGCAAGGACTGCGCTTTCAGTCTCCTGCATAGCCGAAGGATGAGCTAGGCTAGAGGAGGGGACCGTGCGAACAAGAAATGTGATGGGAAGAGAAGAGACAGCTGGTCAGGGGGTGGGTAGTGGGGGCAGAAAGGAAGAAGGACATATGGGAGCCCCGTTCCCCCACGCAGGACTGCTTCTCCCATTTATTATGCCCCTTGGAAGACAGATGACAGTGGCTGATGAGGTGGACACTCCCAGCTCAAAGCCTCTGCTCTGCCCAAAGGCCCTCCCCATATGTTGCTGAACTGGAGGGCTGGGTTACCATGGCAACTGTGAGACCTGGAGGACAGTCACAGAAGGGGCCTAGCTAGGGCCACTGCTGCTCCGGGACTTTGGTTGCGGTGGTGGTTGGTGGTAGGCGAGGCTCCATCTGGACCACTCCCCACCCCCTCCAATCCACTGTCATCCGCACTCTAGAACTGAGAGGAGTACACTGCTCAACTCCGCGAAGGGTCTCTCTCTGCACAAATGAGACAAGCAATCTACCACTGAGATACAACAGACTTCCCCAGACCCTCCCACCTCACTATTCCGTCTCCCTCCTCCCAGCAGACACACAGGCCGGTAGCTGAAGCAGTGATGGAGAATTGACTCTTTTTAAGTTGCAAGAACTTTTAACCGACAACATTAGTTTTCCTGGGCTTCAGGTTTAATTCACAAAAGCCACCCTTTCTCGGCTCCTGGTTATCCTGTGAGGTCACACTTCAGCTCTGAGAGGCAAGAGGTAGCAGGAGCACCCTCTGCAGTTGGAAGGCCGAGGCAGCCTAGAGGGAGCCACAGAGAGCCGGTACAAATGAGAATTTCCAGAGAAGCCATGCTGTGTATCTAGCGCCTGAGCTATAGCCTGGAGGCTGAACAGGATGTGTCCTTCTGGTCCCGTTATCTTGGAGCCTCTTTGGAAGACCATTTAGACTTGCTCACTGTGGAAGATGCCAAAACTAAAACAGTGTCAGAAGCCATCCAATCCAAATGAAAGTTAGATGAAGTAACTGACATCCGATGGCAACTGCTTTGTTTAAGGTAACAGACCTACAGCCTGTGACACAATTGAGACCGCTGCCCAGGTCTCCAGGCTTCCAACCAGGGTGTTTACTCTGCCACTTTGGATTCTAAAGGTCACTGGCTTGAGCAGGAAAAATCATCTTGAGTTGATCTACTACTCTGTTTGAAGAAACTGAAATCTTGAAAATTCAGTAGTCCTCAAAAGGGGAGTACCGAGCACCAGTTAAAATGCAGCTTCCTTGTTAATTACAGCATCAGTGCATTACAGGTTGAAAACCTTGAATTAAAAGCTAGGCTGAAGGAGGGCGCTGCACCCCTCCCTCTCCTCCTATTGAGCACGCCACCCACCCACCCTCCACACTTTTACCCTCAGTATGCACACTAGCCCCTGCAGAATTCAGTGCCCTAATCATGAAAAGTCGTGGCCTGCAAAAGGGAAGGGGTCTCATCTCCAGGAAAGGGCGAGCATCTAAGCTCAGGCATGCCACGAGGATCAGTAGTTTGGGAACATTTGTATCGACACACAGGACCTCAGGTAGCGACTTAGTGAGTGGTATACTCGGTATAGTGCCACCTACCCAGACACCTCCAAACCGCCACACCCCCTGCCCTAGAGGCTCAGAGGAAGAGGTGAGCGTGGTCGTCGGACCCAGGGCCGCTGGAGGTCAGTCGGTCACAGCGGGCCTTGTAGAGGTCGCGCTCGCGAGCGAGTCGGGTCACCTCGGCCCGCAGTGCGTCCAGCTGGGCGGCCAAGCGGGCACGCTCGGCCTCCAGCCCACGCCGCTGCTGCAGCCGCTTGGAGCGACAGGCCTGAGCGTAGCCGCGGTTCTTGAGCGTGCGGCGCCTCTGCTTCAGCCGCAGAGCCTCGTCGCGCCCGCAGCCCCGCAGCTGCCGGTTCAGCTCGCGCACAGACATCGAGACCAGCGCCGCGTCCGAAAATCGCTCGGGCAGCTGCGGAGGAAGAGTGCAGGGACCAGATCGGTGCAGGTCCCACCCGGCTAGACACTCGAGTCCCCACACCAGTTAGGGAATCCTTGGGATTCCAGGGAGCATGCACTTTCACCTACTGCATGCTCGCTCTTCCTATAGACCCCACCCCAAGTTCCGTTCCGACACGTCCTGGACTCCAGGGTTGCGCGCGCGCGCACACACACACACACACACACACACACACACACACACACACACCGCCTTGTGGCCCCTCCAAGTGTCGCAGTGTGAGCTCCGCCCCCCGCACTCTGGAGAGCCAATCGCGCCTCCGGTCGTACCCTTCAACTGTACGCAACGTCCTGGGAGACCAGCGCCCAGACTCTGCCCTTGCCACAGACGACACGCTTCCCTGTCCTGAACTGCACAGCCCAGTGACCCTCAAGGATTTGGATTACATCCTAATGCCCTCAACACCCCCATCTGTGTCTATAATTAATAGGATGAGTCCCAATCCTTTCTGAGAAGGTTAGGCGCTGGGGCGGGGGGGGGGGGGGGGGGGGGGGAGGGGGGGGTACGGCGCCATGAAAAAGCTAACTTCAACCACAGCCTTTATCCAGCTAGATTCCACACATCGTTTATCTATTTGCTTCTACATAATCGCTCATCCCCCACCACGCTCTTAAACTCTAATCCCTTTTCCCTTTGAGGCCCCTTCTAATCTTTTGTTTTGTTTTGTTTTTTGACGGGGTCTCTCTGTGTAGTGTAGCTGACCTGGAGCACATTTATTGAACCAAGCTGGCTCCTAATTCACAGAAATCTGCCTGAGTCTGCCTCCAGAGTACTGGGATCTTGTGGTTTCTTCCTTATCTTCTCTCTGTACCCCATAATTCAACTATTCCCTTCCATTTTGAAAATTCGATGTCGTTTTCTCAAGGATCATCCTCTGTCTCTTCCCAGTCCACAACCCTCTCCAGGAATCCTCCCTCTCTTGATTGTCTCCTTCCCTTCTTTTTCCTCCCCTCAGACCAACCTATTGGTCACTTACCTGGGCATGCTGGGCTCCTGTCTCTCCTGGGCTCCCTGAATAGTAATCCTGGGGCCCTTCTACAGGGACTGGGCCCTGGTTCTGAAGCAGCTCCACAGCCTCATCAGGACTCAACCCCAGCACTTCATCAGCCCCCAGCTGCTGCTGCAGAGTGGCCAACCAATACAGCTCCTCCAGGCCTGGCCTGGGGCCCTCACTGCTGCCCACCAAGCCCGGCTCACTGAAGGTGGGTGAAGGAGGCACCGAGCTGTAAGGGGTGGAGCCCAGTGAGGCTGTGGGGAGTCCAGGTCGGCCCTCTGGGGGTTCCCGCTTTATTTCAAACTTCATCAAGTCAAAGTCATTAACGTATTCCATAGCCAGGGGACTCCGGGCAAGGGCCATTCTGGGAGTGAGCTGAGAGAGGTGTTCCTGCAAGGAAAAGGAGAGGTTCGAACAGTTTGAGGGGTGTCTGCCATCCCTCTCTCTATACCTCCTTCCCCCCAGACCCAAGTGCCCTGAAACCAGAGCACTGGGACTCCAGAGTAGTGATGCAGCCAGCCCGTCTTCCCTGCACAGCAGCTTCTAGGCGGCTCCTGTCAGGCAACAAGAAACTGGAGACCTGAAGGACAAAATGGTCAGCACAGCCTCTCACCCCTTTGTGCCTCTGGCATCCGTGAGAAACAACAGCAGCATGGCGGTGCTCCAGGGCTCCGTGGTGGCACCCCAGTACTGGGGCATGCTGAGGAGCTCTGTCATCTCCAGAGGCACAGTTCCATTTACAGTCAATTAAAAGTGGGCTTAATTAATGTGTGTGTGTGTGTGTCTGGGTGTGGCTGTGTGTGTATGTGTCTCTCTGGGTGTGGCTGTGTGTATGTATGTGTGTGTCACACTAGGCTGTGGATTTTAGGGCCTAAGAACATTGTGCTGTTATCTTTATCTCTGAAAGCCTTCAGGATAGTATCACTTTACACAACTGTTCTATGGGTCTATTTACACATCTGTTCTATGGGTCAACAGACAAACCTCTTCTTCTCTAAGAGGGTTTCTATGGGGAAAAGGCTCTAGAAAGATCTGGACCAAGTGGCCACTCTTCTCTTCTCAAGGCCAATCCCTCCTAAGAGAACCCAGGAGGGCAGATCTTCTTTGATTTCAGAACCCGCTACGTTAATGTGAGTTTGAGCAGATTGCCTTCGCTTTCTGACCTGTGGGCAATTAGACTTTGAAAACTTCCCTGAAGACTGTTCTGTGGAACACTAATTCTGAGACATGCCCTAGAAGAGGTTTATACACAGGTAATTTTAGGGAAGGCTACCTCTTAGCCCCATCTCTTGCAGATTCACAAGCATGAAAGTATATTAACCCAAGAAGTCCTTGAGCAAACGCGGTTCAACAGAGTGTGCCAAATCTCCAACACTAAGGAACTCTCCCGTGTTCACCTCTAGCTAGTTTACCTCACTAGTTCACACGTCCCAGCATGGATGTTCCAGCTCTAGTTCAGCCCCCAATTCCCTAGGCCCAGAAGCGGAAGTGCTCAGAGTCTTATCTCCCAGGCTTGGGCTCTAGCTGCCTCTTGACTCCCTCTTTTCTTCAGCCACATCTCAGATTCCACACTGAGCAGAAAGGTGGACAAGGAGACAAGGCTTCTCTTCCTTTCCAGGGGAGAGCTGTCCTCTGCAGAACCACTCAACCATGAGAGAACAGGGGTGCTAGAAGGAGCTAGCCTTTGGCAAAAAGAAGATGGCACGACACTGATTGGGGTGTCCAGAGAGACAGGAGACATTAAACACTTAGCAGGGAAAGTTGCTTATCTTTCTGAGATGGCAGCAGCCAGAGCAGGAATGGGGCAGGGTACAGAGAGTGAGAACGTAAGATAGGACGGAGAGCAGCTGCAGGGGTCAGAGAAGGGGCTCTAGGGGGCAGGTCCAGGACCAGGTCACCAGACATACTCACTTTAGGAAGGGCAGAGATGACGTAGTTGGTGTCAGAATCAGAAAGGCACTGCTTTGCCAGAGACTAGAGGCTCCATAGAGCAGGGTCTGGCGCCCCTGTCTTCAGAACAAGGGGGCTATGGGTACAGAGCCCAAAGGGCACTCTTAAAGAGCTAGTTCTTTGAGATCATCTGTAGCCTTGGAGCCTCAGCCAATGAGATAAAGAGCTTATTTGCATATCTCATTGTCCTGGGGCAGAGATGCTGAGGACAGTGAAGGACAGGTACCACCAGTTCTCAAAAAAAAAGGAAAAGGGGCATCTGCCCCCAAGAAAGCTTCTTATTTGGTGGCCGCACATATATGTGGGTACCACCGTGCATATGACATAACCTCCGGTCAGTCAGCCTAGGACTGGTCAGAGTCCAGGCAAACTCCATCTTTTAGGACTCCGCACCTCCTGTCGACGTCTGTGGGACAGATACACCATCCCTGCCCATTCTCGGCTGGCTTGCTGGGTCCTGCTTCCTCTTTTCAAGCATCCTCTCATTCCAGCCCCCGCCCACCTTCAGCCTGGCTAACCTTATACCTCTTAGAGACACTGTATTAGAACGATAAGCAACTTTCTCCACGAAGAATCCCGCTCTGAACAACCCGACTCTAAGACGAGCTTGAAAGAAGGGACAGAAAAAAACAGGGCCGGACTCCTTGTCTTTTCTCAGGTCACCAAGAAGGGCTGAAATCTAATCACAACATGTTCATCAGGTATGCTTCTGTAACTAACGACCCTCAGGAGCCCTCTGCTTCCTCTCACCTTTTCCCTGTGTGGGTCTCAGTCCCCCCTCTCCTCCTTGCTCGCTCATTACGATTCCCAGACGGCTGGGATGTGACCTACATTTTCAGTCTAATCTCCTAACACCTCTTAGGGCTATCGCCCCCAGTGGGAGCTGGAGCAGGGATCCTAAGACTTAGCCAAGGAGATGTTTAAACCTGCCTGAAGCTGTTTAAATAGGGTCTGTACTAGAATAAACTCTAGATATTAAAGGGTATTCCCCCACATTCTGAGGACACCCAGAAAGTTAGTTAATAGATCTTCTTTCCCAGTGCAGAGTAAGGTCTTGGCTCTGTCAGTCCCAAGAGTCTTCATTTATAACAATTAACCTAGTCCCAGTCTTAGGTGTTACCAAAGAGCTAGGAGATGCAGATTACTTAAGACTGTGGCTCCCAAAGTGTGGTCCTCAGATCAGCAATAACAGCATCTCTTGGGGACTTGAAGAAACCAGTTCTCTGGCTTTACCTCAGACTCACAGAATCAGAAGCTCTGTAGTAGGATATAGACATCGGTGATTTAATAAGCCTTCCAGCAATTCTGACACACACTAACGTTTAAGAACCACTGGTCTACAGATGTCTACATTCAACCCATCTTCTCCCCACCCCCGTGTGTGTGTGTGTGTGTGTGTGTGTGTGTGTGTACCCGTACTACATCAGTTTTCCATCACTGCTTGGATATAAATACCCCCAAAGGCCCCTGTGTTGAAGGCTTGTTTCCAGAGAAGGGCACAACTGAGAAGCATTCAGATGAGGGTGTTAAACTTCTCAATGAGTTTATCAGTTGAGGAGTTCACACACAATCGGCTGGGAGGTGGGGCCTAGATGGAAGAAATATGCCTGTGAATGATATGAATGATATATCTTTTCCTTACTTCACTCGTGTATCTTCTCTCTCCCTCCCTCCCTCTTTCTCCTCACCCCCCCCCCATTGGCTTCACCAATATTCTCCATCATGATGTTATTAGATTTCTCCACCATGATGTTAGATTTTGGACCAAAGCAATAGTAACCATCCACTGAAACTGAAACCATTGGCCCACAGAAATTTCTCCTCCTTTCATTTTTCTTAGGCTTGTCACACACACAAAAAAAAAAAAAAACTAACAGACAGTTGCTCCAATAAATACCTAAAGTAATATACTTTAATTGGAAAGTGGTTTGTGCTGGGGTTGTGGGGGCACACGCCATTGATCCCAGTACTCTGGGGGAGGCAGAGGCAGGAGGATCTCTGTGAGTTGGAGGCCAGCCTGATCTACAGAGTGAGTTCCAGGACAGCAAGGACTGTTACACAAAGCAGGGGGGATTGTTTTGCTGACATAGAGATTCCAATCTGTGAGCACTTGGCCCCACTGTTTATTGTCTAGAGTGAGCATGACACACCTTAAAGCTACTCCTGCGAAAGAGGAAGGGGCTAGGGCCCTGTTTTCCTCACAGATATACCCCATGGCCAGAAGACTTCCCACGAGGCCCCACCACTTGAAATTTTCACCACCATCCAATAGTGACAAGTTTTGAACTCATGTGCCTTTGGAGGACTTTTGGGGGTTTGTTTGTTTTTAAAGATTGAGTTTCTCTGTGTTAACAGCCCTGACTGTCCTGGAACTTGCTTTGTGGACCAGGCTGGCCTTGATCTCACAGAGATCCACCTGCCTCTGCTTCCCAGTGCAGGGTATAAAGACACGTGTCACCAGGCCCAGCCTTGGAGGACATTGGAAATCCAAGTTTTCTCCACATAAACTAGAGACCCAGGTCATCTGTCATGACTTCCCCACGCTTGGGTCTCTATTATGTGCAGTCTGTTGTCATTGAGCAAGTAGGATTGCCACTCTTCACCTGGACCTGTTGCTTGTTTTCTCAGGAAAAAAACAGGAAGTTTACAGCCCAGAACCAACCACACAATGGGAATAGGGATGATGAAAGCAAGGAAGCCCACGTACATGCCCGTGGAATGTGGCTGTGCAGTGGACAGCCAAGAAAGAGCGCCTAAAATTTCCCTAAAGGAAAAGGGATTGGCAGCATCGAGTGCAGACCCTGTTCATGCCTGCCCTGAGCTAGCCAGACACTTGCTCCCACCAGGCAGCTGTCAGCTCTCTCCTGATCCTCTTGTTTACAGGAGGACTCAGAGAAGACGTAGGAGGGCTAAGCTGCTGAGGGGTGAAGGGAGTCAGGCCAAACAAGCTCAGGCAAACTGAGCCCCTCCAGCTTCAGACCCTCCCTGGGCAAAGGTGTTGGGATGTGATGGCCAGGCTCAGAGAAGCACCGTGCTCACTAGTGGAAACCTGGGAGGCAGAGAACAGCCCAAGCATACCAGGGAAGACTTGGAGGATAGGAAGTAGATAATGACCCTAAAAGACTCCTGGACATGTGAAGAAAGAGGACCAGGGATGAAGAAGACGGAGTTCTCTGTGCTCGGTGGTAGAGTGCATTCAATCCCCAACACTTACTACAGAAAAAAAAAATGGAGGCAAGTTAGGTTACACATGCCTGTAAACACAGAACTGGGGAAACCCAGACAGGAGCGTCGTGAGTTCAAGGCCAACTTGAGCTACAGTAGGCGAGGGGAGGAGAAGAGAAAGAACAAAAGAAAGAAAGGAAGGAAGAGAAAAAAGAGAAGGAAGGAAGGGAGGGAGGGAAGGAGGGAGGTAGGGAAGGAGGGAGGGAGGGAAGGAGGGAGGGAGGGAAGGAGGGAGGGAGGGAAGGAGGGAGGGAGGGAAGGAGGGAGGGAGGGAGGAAGGGAGGAAGGGATAACACAGAGACAACATTCTAGGATGTCACTCACCCCCGCCTCCTCTGC